ATCAAGTAACAATCTACAGAGGTTTTCGTTACCCTCTCTGGCACACCGGTGCAAGGGTGTCTATCCAGCATTATCTTGAATATTTACATCCGCGTTGTGTTCAAGTAACAACCTACAGAGGTTTTCTTTACCCCCTATGGTACACCGGTGCAAAGGTGTACATCCATCTTTATCTTGAATATTTACATCCGCGTTGTGATCAACTAACAATCTACAGATGTTTTCGTTACCCTCTCTGGCACACCAGTGCAAGTGTATCCATCCAGCATTATCTTGAATATTTACATCCGCGTTGTGATCAAGTAACAATCTACAGAGGTTTTCGTTACCCTCTCTGACACAGGAGTGCAAGGGTGTACTTCCATCTTTATCTTGAATATTTACATTCGCGTTGTGATCAAGTAACAATCTACAGAGGTTTTCGTTACCCTCTCTGGCACACACACACAAACCAATACAGCACCAAAGTTTCTATTGAAAATTACCCTCAAAAGTGTCTCTAGAGGCAACCGATGATCAAGTGTAGATGGCTTGTTCATGCTGTAGACTTTTGGCTTCCATTTTCAGCTCGAGCTGCAACGTGGGACGAGCCGACGGGGACGGGTTCCGGTGGTCAAACTATTTTTAGAGAGATTTCCAAAAGCTAAGCGAAGTAATCAAAACTAACGTTGCTGCTTTCACTGTTTTTTGTCGCAAACGTACTAAAAAAGCCTAAATGTTTAAAAACTGAAACTGGTTTTGTTATCGTTGCGGTTAACTTGTTATTTCGTGTATCGTTTTCTCTATATAATAATATATTAATAATAATATTTTGGCAAAAAAATGCTTTAGAAGGAAGGGGGTTGGGGGCGGGGGTGGGGGGGGTTGGGGCGTTGAAGATATCAACGACTAAATCAAAATCTTAGGAGCCGTTGTAGTATTCCCTTTGAGTGGTATAGCTCTGGCCCTGAGGAAGGCTAATTTTGTTAGCCGAAATATTGGCTTAAAATGAATAATCCCTTTACCATATTGCCTGCCTTGCATTCAGCTTTGTTTTAATTTCCACTTCAAGTGACGTTTGGCACCAGCGTCTCTACATTAGAGATCCGATAAGAAAGACTAACCAGTCGGTTTTATTTGCGGGTTGAGTGGACCTCTGCACTCAGAAAGATATCAGATATAAGTCGTTAAGTAGTTCCCATTTTCGATGGCTTTAGTTTACACCTTCAGCAAAAGGTACGTATGGTGATCAACTATAAAGCGAGCTGTGAACAGTCGTGTTTGCCTCCTAGGGGATCTCCAAGACACAGACCTTGGAGATAAGCATAACAAGGTCAGTGGACAAACAGTTTAAGGCCCATGTTCACCCAAACGACTTTGCGCGCTTGTGTTTTTGTTTTGAAACTATACGCGGTGTTTTGATTGGCTTCCATTTTTGTGGAGCGTTGCGTTGACGACATAAAAACGACTGTGCGTGACTTTCACGCTTGACCGAAGCTTAAGAGACAGTATCAAAGAGGCCAGTAAGACTTAAATTCTTTTCCAAATGGACGAAGATATATCGCCGACTTCGTTAAATGTCACCGGAGAAAGCAGGTCAAAATTTAAACTGGTAGTGAATGCGTATAGATGCTTTGTTGAGTCCGATGAACACAGTACAGGTCATATAATTACGAAACGTCTAAGTACCAGGTGAGATTTTGCTGAAGCCCGATTTGATTGTGAAATGTTTTGATTCCTCAATCTATTATTTTGTGTTAATTCTTAGGAAGCTTAGGTATGTGTTCTCGAAAGAATAAGCGAGAAATTGTGTTTGCAAAGCGTCGAATCAGCACTGCGTACAGTCTTGTCGCTGTAATCGCTGTGTTACAGTTCCTTTAGGTTTGGTTAAGGACTGGTTTGCTAATAATAGTTCTCACTACTTTAGAGCAATATGCCAGACGATAAGTTTACGATATCACTCGCTTCATAGGTTAAATTGAATAAAGCATTGTTCATGTTAGATTGACTCGCTTGTTTTGCTTTCAATTGATTTCAACGGGACCTTTGTTTACAATTGAACATCAACATTTGATGTAAAAGGAACTAGGCAAACACGCTGTCTGTAGAATTTGCAGCCAAGAGCTTCTTTCCCATCTCTCCAGAGATGAAAAAAAAAACGGATTCACGGAGACCAATGTACTTCGGCGACCCCCGTCGACGCGGTCTTCCAAACATACGTTTTGATGGCACCGCCATCGACAGTACTGCAGTGAAACGAAGACTCACAGAAACAAAAGGGCTCGATATCAGACCAAAATATCCAAAAAGATGTAAAGAAAAATACCAAAAGAACCTGTTTAGACTTTCTTTTAAACCAGATTTGGCGAACTGTGGAAGATTAACAAAGACTGACTCTACACAGTGAAGGCAGCGATTTTAAACTACGCGAAATATTTTTTTCTGGAGTACAGGGCGCGCAATGCATCTAGGGTGAACATGGGCCTTTAATTCAGATAAAAGCTTGGCGAGATACAAACACAGTCGACTCCCGATAAGTCGAACCCTCGCTTACTCGAACCTCACGCTAACTCGAACCAAAATCGATTTCCCCTGGATTTCCGTCATGCATTCACTGTAATTTTACCCTCGGTAATTCGAACCCTCGATAACTCGAACTCCCGCTGACTCGAACCAATTTTCGTTTTCCCTCAGGTCATTTTCTATATAATTTTACCCTCGATAACTCGAACCATGTTTTGAGCCCTTAAAAAGTCGGGAAAAAAGCCGTCTAGTGGCGTCCGAAACATTGAATTTTGGATTTCCTATTGACGTGTTTTAGGAGTATAGTTTACTAGTGGAGGCTAATGTTGATTGTCACAGGCTAACGTGAAGCAGCTTTTCTTCTCAAAGCAGTAAAACGCATGTTTTATTTAGGCTATGTTTTGTTAAGTTACGTTCTGATTTATAATCTAAAAGTATCTTTTAATTTTCACTTGATATTTCTACAATTAAATGTTGTAAATGCTAGGTGTCCTGTGCACTAGGCCCAGTCTGCGCCGAGGTGTTGTCATTCGACACTAGTTCAAACCTCGGCATACATGTGCTTTTATCGCTTGTTATTTTCGCCTTTATTTCTCGGATAAGGATCGTTTAACCAGACTCACATCGAAGGAATAGAACATTATGGAAGCATTACGGATATTTCAGCAGTTTTCAAGGTTACGGATAGAGACACTTGCTTGTTTGTAAAGATTTCTTGTACGGTATTGTATTCGAACGGTGTGCTGAGCGTAGTTGATCGGATCGAATAAAACGTGGAATTGACATCGAATTGACGGCTGTTACAGTTTGACCTACAAACGAATCACATGGAAGGAGACAAGGAAGAAGATTTACAAGGGAAAACGGAGTTCCCTGATGAAGAGAAGCTTTGCACTTGGCGCGAAGTCGATATTGATCTCGATACAATCTGCTCGTCACCTCTTGCGATATCGCCGCTGACCGGTTTATTGGCTCAAGAAACTCACATGGACGTGCGAAAACGGATTCCTACAGAAAGGGGTAGGCAATTTGAGATTCAAAACTTGAAGGAAAATCGGAAAACTGCACTTGCTAATTTAACTAAGCAGATGAACTTAGTCTCATCTTTGTTAACGGATTTTGAGAACGAAAAACAAGTGCGTACGGAAGTTGTTCATTTAGATCAGCTATTTGTTAAAGTGCAAGAAGCACATGACGCATATCTCAAGGCCTTAGATGATGATGATGAAATTAAATTAGCTCTTGAATGGTTTGGCACTCGTGATAAGGATGTGCTCCAGCTAAAGCAAAGGATTATTGGCTTTTTGGATGATGCAGATAAGCTACGTGGCGGTTTACGTGATACACACTCAGTGAAATCTAAGTCATCTCGTCGCTCAAGGCACTCCCTTTCCTCGGTAACATCTGCTAGGTTAAAGTTAATTGAAGCGAAAGCTAAAGCTGCAGCGTTAGAGGTTAAGGCATCATTTCTAAAAGAGAAACAAGCATTAAAAATGGCTACTGAAGAGCTTGAACTTAGGCAGCAAATCGCAGAGGCAAAGGCAGAAGAAAAAACTTATGAGAAATTCGAGGAGGAACAAAATATTGACGGAATGAATGAAAACTTGGAAGATGTTGAGGTTAAACTCACTTCTACTACCATCTCACCTGGGGTACAATCTAACGATCAGGCTACACTAAGGGTGCCTTCTGTGAAGTTCCAAAGTTCAGCTATTGTTGGTTCAACGACCACTCCTGTAACCACCCCAGCTTTAGTCAGTGCTGCTAGTATGAACCCAACTGCCCGACCCTTTGTTCCAAAGAGTGTTCCCATTAAGGAAGAAGAGTATAAGGACAAGTACGAAACCCCCACTGATTATAAGCTACCACATGTTAAAAGGGAATGTACGTGCAGTTTCGGAAAGGATTCAAGCTCTGTGGAAGGTACAGGGTTAGATCAAAACTATCTTGACATTCAAAGGAAGCAGACTGAACTTTCAGAAATGATTGTTACCCAACAGGCTAGGAGTCTCCTACCTAGTCACAAGCCACCTACGTTTTCGGGAGATGTTATGTCATACCCAGCATTCATAACAGCCTTTGAAACTCTCATAGAATCTAAGGTAGATGATTCTAATGAGCGCTTGTACTTCTTGGATCAATACACTAGTGGAAAGGCCAAGGAACTGGTAAAGGGTTGTTTACAAATGAAAGGCGAAGATTCGTACAAGGAGGCTAGACGGCTTTTGAAGAAACATTTTGGTGACCCATACAAGATTGCAAGTGCATACATCGCCAAGTTGTCGAGCTGGCCCGCTGTTAAGCCTAACGACGGAACAGGGTTACAAGAATTTTCTATTGTCCTTGAGCAAGCAAGGAACGCCATGACAGGCATGCAATACATGAACGACTTGAACACGGCCATGGTTATGCGCCAGTTATGGGAAAGGCTGCCGCGATATCTACGTAGTAAGTGAACTGAAAGAGTTAGCAGGATTAGGAGTGTCAAGGGACAGACAGCTAGCTTTAATGACTTTTGCCAATTTGTATCAGAGCAAGCCGATTTAGCGACAGACCCAATCTATTCCGAGGAAGGCATAAGTAAACCGATGAACGCAGTTGAGAAGTACCATAAACAGAACGAACGCAAACCCAAGAGAGGAAGGGGTACCAACTTTGCAACAGGCTTGGCAGGAAAGAATGCAGGTGGCGGAAATTCTCACCCCATCAGCTGTACATTGTGCTCTAAGGCGCATCATCTGGACGAATGTGCTGAGTTTCTTAAAAAACCGCTAGTGGAGCGGAGAAACTTTATCAAACAGAAAGGCTTATGCTTTGGTTGCTATAGTTGTGAACACATTGCCAAGCTTTGCAAAAGTAAAAGAACCTGTCAGATCTGCAATAAGAAACACCCAACGTCACTCCATGATTACGGTTGGAAATCAGAAGAGGTGAAAATGGAAAGTTGAAACGGCCAACATGAGAAACCCGAAGCCAGTAAAAAGAAAACGGAAGAGCGAGTCGTTAACGTGTGTACTGCAATTTGCAATGTGACAGATGCCGGTGATGTACCAGTTGCTATGGGTATTATCCCAGTATGGTTGTACCACAAGGACAATCCAAGCAATAAGATATGTGTTTACGCCCTCCTTGATAATGCCCGTGGTGGAACATTCATTAAGGAAGACTCGTTAAGAAGGCTTGGTGTTAAAGGAAGTGAAACCAAACTTTTGCTCACTACTATGCATGGTACCCAAGAAGTCGATACTAAAGCGGTAGATGGGCTAATGGCTTCCCACTGTTAAGAAAACGACGTTATCGTACCCCTACTGAAAACCTACGTCAGACAACGGATTCCAGCAGATCGTGATGAGATTCCTCGTCCCGAAGAGCTGCAAGGATGGTCACATTTGCAGATGGTTAGGAAACACGTACCTCCTTACATGGACGACGTAGAAATAAGACTCCTAATCGGACTAAATTGTTCTAGTGCAGTGCGACCAAGAGACATTATTTGCGGAAATGAGAATCAACCCTATGCAGCACGATCAAGAGCAGTAAAAAAAGTACATTGTAACCGTATTCAGATTCTTAAGAGGAACACGGAGGACAAAGTGAATGGGTACATCTTTGCTAAGACAGAGATTAAGGGGCGGCTAACCCCTCAAATGGTTTCTCGAATGTTTGAGGTGGACTTTGCCGAAAGGGAGCACGGAGTCGCATTATCAAGAGAAGACCGTCAGTTCCTGAAGATTGTAGAAGATGGAATCCATCATAGAGATGACATGCATTACGAGATGCCTCTGCCCTTTAGAGAAAAGAATGTACAGCTACCCAATAACCGTCCTCAAGCAGAGCAACGCCTGCACGGCCTTAAGAAGATTCAGATTCATGACTGAAATCATAGAGAAGGGATATGCTCGAAAGGTCAAGGTTGAAGAGCTACCCCATCAAGAAGGAAAGGCCTGGTACTTACCTCACCACGGGGTTTACCACCCCAAAAAACCAGGCAGCATACGCGTAGTATTTGACTGTTCAGCTCGTTACCAGGGTGAATCGCTGAATGGCCACCTATTGCAAGGGCCCGATCTAAGAAACAAGCTCACTGGGGTGCTCACAAGATTCAGAGAGGAGAAGGTAGCCTTCATGGCTGACATAGAGAAAATGTTTTTTAAAGTCAAGGTTCCAAGGGAGCCAAATGGAGATTTAACTCAAGAACCTCAAGAGTACTGCATGACAGTGCACCTCTTTGGAGCTGGTTCATCTCCAGGGTGTTCTAACTTCGCCTTGAAACGTACAGCCGAAGACGGTGAAAGAGAGTTTGGTGCAAGAACTGCCGAAACATTAAGGAAGAACTTTTACGTCGATGATGCTCTGAGTTCGGTACCGACAGAGAAGGACGCTGTAGAACTAGTACAAGCTGTTAAAGAGATGTGTGCAAAGGGAGGGTTCAAACTAACGAAATTTGTCGGCAACAGTAGAAAGGTGATGATGTCAGTACCTGCTGAAGACAGAGCAAAGGAGATCAAGGGCCTAGACCTAGGCAGTGACAAGTTACCAATAGAGAGAGCATTGGGTGTAGAATGGTGCATTGAATCGGACGCATTCAAATTCAGGATAGAGTTGAAGGACAAGCCGTGCACCCGTAGGGGTATACTGGCAACTATAAGCTCAATCTTTGATCCTCTGGGGCTGATTGCGCCCGTCGTCCTTGTTGGAAAGCAGATACTTCAAGAGATCTGTCACGGAAAAGACTGGGACGAGCCAATCGAGGGAGAAGTTCTTGCCAAATGGGGAAGATGGAGAAGTCAGTTACCGCTATTAGAGCAGCTGAACATCCCAAGAAACTTTCAGCCTCCTGATTTTGGAAGCATTGCCACTGCTCAGCTACATAATATGTCAGATGCGTCTCAAGTCGGGTACGGACAATGTTCTTATCTCAGACTGGTTGATGAAAACGGAAGAATTCATTGTTCTCTTGTTATGGGGAAAGCTCGTGTTGCACCGTTGAAGACAGTCACTATTCCAAGACTTGAACTAACTGCCGCTACCGTTTCAGTAAGGGTTGCAAGCATGCTAAAAGAAGAGTTAGACTGTGAAGGACTCCAAGACTTCTACTGGACCGATAGTAAGGTTGTCCTCGGGTTCATCAACAATGAATCTCGAAGATTCCAAGTGTATGTTGCAAATAGAGTGCAATTCATCCGTGACCACACTTCACCAGACCAGTGGCGCTACGTGGAGTCTGGATCCAACCCAGCAGATGAAGCATCTAGGGGGATGAACGCTAAGGAGTTTATGCAAAGGTCGCAGTGGATTAAGGGCCCAGACTTCTTGTGACAGACGGAAGATCACTGGCCTCAACAAGACTCATACGAAAACGAGGTCGACCACAATTCTCCTGACGTTAAAAGGGTTACCGCTAACGCGACGGTGATTGAAGAACATGAAAACATGTTAAGCAGATTCAAAAGATTCCCCAAGTGGCAAGTCCTAAAGGGCGCAGTTGCGCTTTGTATGGAATACAAACGACGTCTCAAGATGAGAGCCAGTAAAGCAGACAAGAGACCTCTAACTGTTGACGGTCCTCAAGTTAATGGACGAAGCCGTGAATGTGAAGGTTGCCCGGCTACTTCCTTTATGGTCAGAGACCTTGAACAAGCAGAAACAGAAATTTTCAAGCTGGTGCAAGCGAATTATTTCGATAAAGAAATCAAGATTCTGTCATTCGACACTAGGTCAAACCTCGGCATACATGTGCTTTTATCGCTTGTTATTTTCGCCTTTATTTCTCGGATAAGGATCGTTTAACTAGACTCACATCGAAGGAATAGAACATTACGGAAGCATTACGGATATTTCAGCAGTTTTCAAGGTTACGGATAGAGACACTTGCTTGTTTGTAAAGATTTCTTGTACGGTATTGTATTCGAACGGTGTGCTGAGCGTAGTTGATGGGATCGAATAAAACGTGGAATTGACATCAAATTGACGGCTGTTACAAATGTGATTGAAATGTTCACTGTGCAGTTAGAACTTTTTTTTACCTTACTGTCGGCCATTTTCTTCGAACTCCCGGTAACTCGAACTCCCGATAACTCGAACCTTTTTTCGATTTCCCTTGAAGGTTCGAGTTATCGGGAGTCGGCTGTACAAACAAAGGCAAAAACTCTGAACCACATTGAGAACAACTGTAAGCTATAGGAAGCAAAGTCACCAAAGTCTGCACTGGTGAGTGACTTGCCTTGCTCTTAAACCCTTTGCCTATTTACTATTTACAATTCCTTTCGTTTAAAATAAAACACTTAGTTTTTATTAGAAAAAATTCATTTAATTAATAAAAAAATAATCATAATCATAATCATGAATAGGCCATTTTACAGTTGTGGACTTAGTACCCTAGCCTTTGAGTGAATGTGAGATTAAGGTTGATCTTGTTTTGATACAAGGCTCCTTTACTTTGTTATGGAAATTGTCCTTGAAAAATACTAGTTAGCATAAGAACCTGACTTGATTTACACAATAAAGAGGGAAGGTCTGTATCAAAACAAGGTCACCTCCAGCCTCGCTTCCACCATAGCTGCAAAATGGCCTATTACAATGTGTTTACAATATGCAGAAAAATACAAAAACCTTATTGGGACTGGAGTTTACAATATAATTAAAAGAATATGGTTCAATCATGGTTACTAAAATTATAGTAAACTAAGTACAAATCGTAGATTAAGAATGACATTAACTTTAAAAAGATGTTGCGTTTTCCATTAGAATGATACTAGGGAAGAAGCCTCGCCTAAAACGCTCAGTTTTACATTTAAAACACGTCCAAGAGCATATTCATGGGCAATAATATAGGGGTTGGATGTTTTAACAAGGGCCCGCCTTTTTAACTTCATCAAAAGTCCTCATACGTAGTTCATTCCGCTTGTCCTCAGGTGAATCTACTTAGATAAGACCACCACGTGTTCATCATGTCGAGGAGGCAAAACGCGGTGGATGTACCTTTTAAGCAGCCGAACTGCTTGGGGTCTATCTCATTTGTGATATCGTCAGTCATCCACGTGACCCCAAAGTCCTCTAAAACCTTAGACAGACAGGGCGTTAGGAGATATAGGTCTGAAATCACCTTCAGTTGTAGGAAACTGGGTCTTTGAGATTGTTGTGATGTTTGTATCTTTCCAAATAGCGGGAACAATTCCAGTAGCAACGGGTGCGTCAAAAATTGTGGTGACAGGTTCCACTTATTTATAGGAGAATAGGCCCTTTGCAGCTAGTCATTCACGTGGTACAAAACCGCGTTACTGAAGAGCAAAAGTCGCACTGGGAGAAGACAAACAAAGAAATTTACCATTTAAAGTTATGTGTGCCTTTTGTTTGTCTTGTGCCAGTGCGACTTTTGCTCTCCAGCGTGGCGGCTTTGTACCACGTGAATGGTTAGCTGCAAAGGGCCTATTCTTTCAGGATACGACAAGAACCTTTTCAGGTCCTTGTGTCAAAAGCTTCTTGCAAACTTCATGAGGTATGATAGATTGAACAGAAGTAAAGCAGCTTTGTCGATAAGAGCTTAGGCCTTTTGGAAAACACTACTCTGAAAACAAAAGCAAAAAACAGAAAAAGGCTAAATTAAGCCATCACATCAGTTCTTGAGGACGAGGTCGCCTTTGATTTGAGGGGGCTCACTTCTAGTGTCTTCACTTGTTCAGCTTCCGGTTCTTGCTCTATTTCCTTTGTTGTACACGAGGAAATTTGTCTCAGTATTTTCTTTGATTTGATAAGTTCTGCACCTGAGAGAAAGGCTTTTTGTGCAGAGCCCTTTTTAAACTTACGATGTTCCTCCATCCTCTCCGGTGTATTTTTTAAACGTTCCAGTCTAATGGTATCATAATTAACGGCTATTACCACACTAACATCAGCTTCTGAAAAAACAAACTCAAGATACTGGTCCATCTTCTCCGGTTCATTCTAGTCTAATATCTTTATCGGCTTTTAACACACACTAACTTCAGCTCCAACATAAACAAGCTCTTTCACAAATGGCGCATTACCTCATCTCACTGCCATTTGAAGACGATTCCTGCCTTGTGCATCACATACGTTGATATTTTGCACCCATACTTTACCAGGACATCGATTATCTTACAGCAATTGCTGTTAGAAAATGTGCACCATTATCTTTATATCTTTATCGTTATATTTACATCCGCGCTGTGTTGAAGTAACAATCTGTGGAGGTTTTCGTTACCCTTTCTAGTACTCCAGTGCAAGGGTGTATATCCATATATTTAATGAATATTTACATTCGCGTTGTGTTCAAGTAACAGTCTACAGAGCTCTTCGTTACCCTTTCTACTACTCCAGTGCAAAGGGGTATATCCACCTTCATCTTGAGTATTTACATCCGCGTTGTGTTCAAGTAACAATCTACAGAGCTCTTCGTTACCCTTTCTACTACTACAGTGCAAGGATGTATATCCATCTTTATCTTGAATAGTTACATCGGCGTTGCGTTCAATTAACAATCTACAGAAAGTTTCGTTCCCCGTTAAGGCAAACCGGTGCAAGGGTGTATGTCCATGATTATCTTGAATATTCAATTCCGCGTTGTGTTCAAGTAACAACCTAAGGATGTGCAGGGGTTTATATCCATCTTCACCTTGAGTATTTAAGAAACAATTTATAGTTTATAGTTCTGCAACTTTGATTGATGTAATCTATACTAATTGTCCAGATAAAAGTTGTGTGTTCGGGGGTTCGTCATATCAGTATTAGCGATCATAGCACAGTTTTTGCCTATCGAAAATTATCCGTGAATGGAATGTCTGGTGGGCACAATGCTATAACCTACAGAAACTATCGAAACTTTAATCGAATAAATTTTCGGAATGATATTGCATCTCATTGTTGGGATCACATATACAATTCAACTGATCCCAATCAAATGTGGCTACAATGGAAATGCTCGTTTCTATCTATTGTTAACAAGCATGCTCCCTTGAGGACAATGCGTGTTCGCACGCGTAGTTCCCCATGGATTACATCTGAGCTTAAGAAACGAATGCATGATCGGGATATTCTAAAGATTAAAGCAAGTAAATCGAATGATTCAAATGACTGGTCACTTTTTAAAAAACAACGCAATATAGTAAATAGCGAAATCAGATTAGCCAAGCAAGCCTATTATCAAAATAGTTTTAACAAGCATACGGGCGATTCTAAAAAGACCTGGCAGACTATCAATGAACTTACTTCGCGAAAATCTGGGAAAAAATCGGTGACATCTCTGAAAGTAAATGGAGTATCAATAACAAATCCAACTGTGCTGTCGAACCAATTTAATAATCACTTTGCTACTATCGGTCCAGAACTTGCTAGCAATATTGATTCCTCAAATAGTGATGGTTATCAAAAGTACCTCACTGGCACAGATAAACGGTTTCAGCTCCATCCGACCAGTACAAATAAAGTTCTCTCACTTTTGAATCGTCTGAATAAGTCAAAGGCAGCTGGCCTTGACAAGATATCTGCTAGGCTCATTCGGGAATGTGCAGATCTCATTTGCATTCCTATCCGTGATATTTTTAACCAGTCAATAAGTCAAGGCATATTTCCGGATGACTGGAAATGCGCAAAGGTCACCCAACTTTTTAAACAAGGCGATCGGGACGACTTAAACAATTATCGTCCAATTTCGGTGATCTCAGTTATGGCCAAGGTCTTTGAAAGAATCGTCTATGATCAATTATATGCCTACCTAGAAGAGCACAATATAATCTGTAAATATCAATCAGGCTTTCGCGCTATTCACTCAACTGTCACGGCTCTCCTTGAGGCCACGGACACTTGGGCGTACAATATTGACCGCGGTAAAATCAACGCCGTTGTTTTCTTAGATCTCAAAAAGGCCTTCGACACAGTTGACCATGAGATCCTTTTATCAAAATTAAGCAATTACGGCATATATGGTAACGCGCACCAATGGTTTAAGTCGTATTTAGAGAATCGTACTCAAATGTGCTCCATCAACGGATCGCTCTCTCAAAGCTGTTTATTAAGTTGTGGTGTTCCCCAGGGGACGATTTTAGGTCCATTATTATTTCTATTATACATCAATGATCTTCCAAACTGTCTTTCAAATTGTGAGCCGAGGATGTACGCTGATGACACCCACCTTACGTACGCAGGTGGTAATGCAGACAATATTCAGTTGCATCTAAATCAAGATTTAGAAAATGTTCACAATTGGCTGAGAGCAAACAAACTTACTCTAAATATGACTAAAACCGAATTTATGCTTATCGGATCTAGGCAGAGGGTAAGTACTCTCACAGAGTCCCCGACATTTGCAATTAATGATTTTGAAGTTAGCCAGGTCACTACTGCAAAATCACTTGGAGTGACCATCGATGACAGACTTGATTAGAGTGGTCATATCGAGAAAGTAACAAAGAAAGTCGCTTCTGGTATTGGGGCCATAAAACGAATAAGGCACCTTGTCCCTCAGGCGACCTTACAACTAATATATCAAGCTTTAATACAGCCACACTTTGATTATTGCAACATTGTTTGGGGAAACTGTGGGATAACCTTACGGAATAAGGTTCAAAAGCTACAAAACAGAGCAGCCCGTGTTTTGACCTACTCAAGCTATGACGTAGATGCTGGTCACCTTTTCAAACTTCTAGGGTGGAAAAACCTAGCCTTGCCAGCAACAATTTCAAAGAGCTACGATGGTTTACAGGTCTCCGCACGGGTTGGCTCCAAACTATCTTAGTTCTAAATTTGAAAGGCGAGAAGTCGCATATAACCTAAGGGACTCTGAAAATAGACTCAATGTTCCATTACCGCGCACAAACTATTACAAAAACAGCTTCAGCTATAGTGGCGCCATTCTCTGGAACAGTCTTCCTTGTAACTTAAGGGAAGCAGAGTCCCTTGGGCAATTTAAACGATTACTCAAAGAACTGTAAGGCACGGCATTCGTGGAAAGCAGCTTTTTTATTTAAATATTTTTATTATATTAGTATTAGGCATTTTTAAAGCTGACGAATTTTGTACCGTGGATAAATAAAGATTATCTATCTATCTATCTATCTATCTATCTATCTATCTATCTATCTATCTATCTATCTATCTATCTATAGAGGTTTTCGTTATCCTCTCTGTTACACCGGTGCAAGGGTGTATATCCATCGTTACCTTGAACATTTACATCGGCATTGTGTTAAAGTAACAATCTACAGAGGTTTTCGTTACCCTTAAAGGCACAACATTGCAAGGGTGTATATCCATCTTTATCTTGAATATTTACATCCGCGCTGTGTTCAAGTAACAATCTACAGAGGCTTTCGTTCTCCGTTAAGGCACACCAGTGCAATAATGTGTATCCACTATTATCTTGAGCATTTACATCCGCGTTGTGATCAAGTAAAAATCTACAAACGTTTTCGCTACCCTCTCTGCCACACGAGTGCAGGGGTCTATATCTACCTTTATCTTGAATATTAACACTGGCGTTGTGTTCAAGTAACAGTCTACGGAGCTCTTCGTTCCCCTTTCTACTACTCCAGTGCAAGTGTGGTATATCCACCTTTATCTTGAATATTTACATCGGCGTTGTGTTCAAGTAACAATCTACAGACGTTTTCGTTGCATCCAAAGGCACACCAGTGCAAGGCTGTATATCCATCTTCATCTTGAGCATTTACATCTGCGTTGTGATCAAGTAGCAATCTACAGAGGTTTTCGTTACCCTTTCTAATACTCCAGTGCAAGGGTGTATATCCATCTTCATCTTGAGTATTTACATCCCCGTTGTGTTCAATTAACAAACTACAGAGGGTTTCGTTCTCCGTTAGGACACACCAGTGCAAGGGTGTATATCCAAAATTATCTTGAATATTTTCATCCGTGTTGCGTTCAAGTAACAATCTACAGACGTTTTCGTTACTATTTCTAACACTCATGTGCAAGGGTGTATATCCATCTTCATCTTGAGTATTAACATCCGCGTTGTGTTCAATTAACAATCTACAGAGGATTTCGTTTCCTGTTAAGGCACACCAGTGCAAGGGTGTATATCCACCTTCATCTTGAGTATTTACATCCGCGTTGTGTTCAATTAACAATCTACAGAGGTTTACATTCCCCGTTAAGGTACACCAGTGCAAGGGTGTATATCCATAATTATCTTGAATATTCACATCCGCACTGTGTTCTAGTAACAACCTAAGGATGTTTTTGTTACTTTTTCTTGCACACGAGTTAAAGAGTGTATATCCATCTTCGTCTTGAGTATCTACATCCTCGTTATGCTCAAGCAACAATCTACAGAGGTTTTCGTTACCCTCTTTGACACACCAGTGCAAAGGTGTATATCCATCGTTACCTTGAACATTTACATCCGCGTTGTGATCAAGTAACAATCTACCGAGGTTTTCGTTACCCTCTCTGGCACACCAGTGCAAAGGTGTATATCCAAGAGAACCTGTCATATTTACGTTCGCGTTATGTTCAAGAAACAATCTGACGAGGTTTTCGTTACCCTTTCTGGCACTCAAGTGCAAGGGTGTATTTCCATATGCATCTTGAATATTTACATCCGCGTTGTGTTCAAGTAACGATCTACAGAGGTTTTCGTTACCCTCTCTGGCACACCAGTGCAAAGGTGTATATCCAAGAGAACCTTTCACATTTACGTCCGCGTTATGTTCAAGAAACAATCTGACAAGGTTTTCGTTACCCTTTGTGGCACTCAAGTGCAGGGGTGTATATCCATCTTCATCTTGAGTATTTACATCCGCGTTGTGTTCAATTAACAATCTACAGAGGGTTACATTCCCCTTTAAGGTACACCAGTGCAAGGGTGTATATCCATAATTATCTTGAATATTCACATCCGCGCTGTGTTCAAGTAACAACCTAGGGATGTTATTCTTACTCTTTCTGGCACACGAGAGCAAGGGTGTATATCCATCTTCACCTTGAGTATTTACATCAACGTTATGTTCAAGTAACAATCTACAGAGGTTTTCGTTACCCTCTCTGGCACACCAGTGCAAGGGTGTATATCCATCTTCATCTTGAATATTTACATCCGCGTTATGCTCAAGAAACAATCTACAGAGATTTTCGTTACCCTCTCTGGCACACCGGTGCAAGGGTGTATATCCATCTTCATCTTGAATATTTACATCCGCGTTATGCTCAAGAAACAATCTACAGAGATTTTCGTTACCCTCTCTGGCACACCGGTGCAAGGGTGTATATCCATCTTCATCTTGAATATTTACATCCGCTTTATGCTCAACAAACAATCTACAGATGTTTTCGTTACCCTCTCTGGCACACCGGTGCAAGGGTGTATATCCATCTTCATCTTGAATATTTACATCCGCTTTATGCTCAACAAACAATCTACAGATGTTTTCGTTACCCTCTCTGGCACACCAGTGCAATGGTGTATATCCATCGTTACCTTGAACATTTACCTCGGCGTTGTGTTCAAGTAACAATCTACAGAGCTCTTCGTTACCCTCAAAGGCAGACCAGTGCAAGGGTGTATATCCATGATTATCTTGAATATTTTCATCCGCGTTGTGTTCAAGTAACAGTCTACAGAGGTTTCCGTTAATCTCTCTGCCACACGAGTGCAAGGGTGTATATCCACCTTTATCTTGAGCATTTACATCCGCGTTGTGATGAAGTAACAATCTACATACGTTTTCGTTACCCTCTCTGGCACACCAGTGCAACGGTGTATATCCAAAATAATCTTTCATATTTGCATCAGCGTTATGTTCGAGTAATAATCTGACGAGGTTTTCCGCATTACTTTGGACTGATACGAAAAGTGGTGTATTTTTACCATTATCTTGAATATTTAAATCCACATTGTTTGCAAGTAATAACTTGATGAGATTTTCGTGATTTTTTTTAACTGATAAGTGCACTGCTGTGAACCCATTACTAGGCTGTACATTTACATCAGCTTCATGTCTTACAAGCACGTACGCTGCCATGTAGTTGTTCCAGTCAGCTGCTAATATTAAAGGAGTTTCTTTTCTCTCTTTTCTTTGGCCATTAACGTCCGCTCCAAGATCAATGAGGGTCTCAATGAACTGACTTGAGGATGAACGACTCGCCTGCAGCAAAGCTGTCCAATCATTGTTTGACCCTGGGGCGTTAATATCTACACCATCATTTAATACAAACTCAACTGCCTGTTCCGCATCATCATGGCATGCGGCCCACTGCAGTTCAGTCAGTCTACTGTTGTCCTTAGCCCACTTGTTATAAAGTCTCTCGATTCTATGATGACTTGTTTTTCTTCTCTTTATTAGAGATAAGATGTCAACTGCGGTCTTTCCTGGAAAATCTTTAGCGTTATTTCCCGTTGTTACAAGTTCCATCTCTTCTACGATGTTATCAAGAAGGCCATAAGCATTTAAAACAATGTTGTATTCTCCGTCTAAGACAGCAGCCTGGAGCAGATTAAATCCAGATTGTGTATCCACTTGCAAGAAAGCTTTTCTCGAGAGTTTCCTTAAACTGACCTATCATAAAAATGATTATGTTCATGAGCGAAAATAATAAAGATGTTTTCATTAGACTATAATTCTTAAGTATCTTTTTGGTAGATAATCTATTAATGTTGTTGCCGTGTATTGGAAATAAAGACATTTCAATTTCAAATTAAATTTTAATTAGGATTTAATCAATTTTAACTGTATACACGAAGAGAGAAGAAGGGAAGGAGTAGTGGAGAACAGAAGAACCAAACGAGCTACTCCTGACTCAGTTGAAATATAACTTACAATGTAAAAAAAGGAAACAAAAAGAAGTTGTTAGAAAAAGTAACACATATAATTATAATTATATAATTATGATATAAGACTAGACTATGATTTTACACCCAGGTAACATGTGGGCGATCAGGATTAAAGTCCCTATAATCTTATTTTTTTGTAAAAATCTCTGCAACGGTTTTTTTTAAAGCAAGACAGGCTTAGGTCTTCAGTTCTAAGGTTCTTAGGTAAGGTATTCCATAAATAACAACAAATGTAAGGTATCTAAAGAAAAAGAAAAAGCGACTAAAAAACTCGTTCAATAATGTATAGGTAACTTTGAACATTGTAGGTAGAACTCCATGGCAAAATGGATTAGGGAAGACTGACAAAATCTGATATCTTACTGGTTGAACTTTTGGCCTGGCATCATTCTTCAGCAGCAACTGCACTATGGAACGGTGGTTTTGACGTTCAGCTTTTTGCAGAGGTGTACGTTGAAACTAAAAACATTTAAGCAAAGTAACATGCGTTGCTTACCACAGCCCTGGACATGCGTTTTGTAGCATGAGCTAAATTAATTGCTGTGTGACGAAAACTAATGACAGCCTTAATTAAACATAAAATGTCTCTTTCCAGAGGTCATGATTTGTATAATAAACCTTTGGCTTTTTTGCCGTTCTCGTTCACGTCGCCGTCGTTGTTACTTACGCCCCCTATCATTGGTCAAAGGAAAAAAACTCACTAACTCACCCTGTCTTTAGCTTTGACGTTGGCACTACGCTCTAGTAACAACCGGACAACAGATTCCTGTCCATACCAACAGGCAAGATGAAGAGGAGTCAGAGAAAACTACAGAATTAGGGAGAAAAAAGAATAAAAAAGGGTAAAAAAAGTCAGCTTGTCCAGCAATAATGATGTTCTTGCATGAAATAAAACTAGAGGCTGTTATTGAACTAATTTATCTTTTTCAGTTTACAAGGAGAAGCTCAAGTGTAACACTAAAAATATCTCTAAATGCAGCGTTTACAGGTCTTTTTTCCATTAGGAATTGGTTGAACAAGGCTACCGGTTTACATTAAGAACACTTCTTCTTTTATATTGTGAAAGTAAAGTTATAACATTTTCAGGCGGGTAAAACGAGCAAACAAGAAAAAAAAACCTGAATCTAAATTACCGTAACATTCCGAAAAGAAGCCCCGGAGCTTATATTTTTCAAAGGCCCTTTTTGAGGGGCTTATTTTTGGTGGGCCTTATATACGGGGGGAAATTTGCGTTTCAAAATCGGCTAGGCTTATACTTTAAGGAAAACTTGCGTCTCAAAATCCATTGGCTTGCTTGTAGTTGGAAGGAAATTTATGTCAGTAATTTGAAGCAAGTTTTTAATGAAACTCGCCTTGAGGACGTAGATCTTTCTAAAACTCAGCCATGCAAGCACTTTGTCTATATGGATCGAGGAAATCTAAGCCAAGAATGAAGACGCAAACAGCAATACACTGTGATACGTTTTGACTACAATCACTGGATTATAAAGATAAAGCCCAAAATATTCTTTTTTAAAGAAAATCCGCTAAAACAGAATTTTGTGATTTTCTTGTTCTGTTATCAATGATTTTTCATTACTGGCCCAATAAGAATGCTGTGTTCGTTCATGAACACAAGGCATGCAACACTCAAAGGCTTTGGTGCAGGTTTTTGCTTCTAATCCCCGCGAGCTTAAAAGCTAGCGCAAACCCAAACACAAGCGCCTGCTCGTAATCTACTGAAGATACATTAGATTCACATAGACCGGGGAAGACTAAAACCTGATCTTTTTGATCCACATCTTCGCCACTTTCAAGAAGCATTTTGACCGTCTCGTATTGTCCACTGATAGCAGCCTTGTGTAGAGGGCCTCTCGATGCCTATTTCAAAAAATATACTTTTCTCAGAGAGTAAAATGAATATAATGTAAAAGATTACATAATCCCAAGAGAGTTCCCCCTCTCTTGAAAATCCTTTTGATAACAGCCAAATCCATCAGTCCAATTACCTAACACCGGGTTACCTACCATGTTACCACCCTCTCTTGTGGGTCTAACTATCCCGGCGTACATGTATCTCCGTACTAATAACTTTACCGTCTGTATCATAATCAATGCTAGAGATAATTATTCAATATTTAACAACTGCGTCGCTGAGTGGAGGTAGGTGCCCGGGATGTCCAGGGGCTTCCACCTATGGCACGGCCAGCCCCTAGACAGAGTTACGCCCCCATGGCTGGCAAACCCGCGCCCTCCAGCCATGAGCCCCCACGCCAATGGAACCAGGCACCCGTCACACTGATAACAGTGGAAGACTTAAGGGGGGGAGGGATGGGGGTAAAAGAATGATCCAAAGGCTAAACGAAGAGAATGGCCGCCACGAAAACACTGTACTGAGCACATGGAGGTGATGCAAGCAAGGCTGACGGCGCTTGAGCCAAACGACCGACCGCTGACCACGCTCGCGCTCCTTGTTGTTAACTCTGTTAAATAAATATATATTTAACCTCATTTAACAACTGCGTCGCTGAGTGGAGGTAGGTGCCCGGGATGTCCAGGGGCTTCCACCTATGGCACGGCCAGCCCCTAGACAGAGTTACGCCCCCATGGCTGGCAAACCCGCGCCCTCCAGCCATGAGCCCCCACGCCAAGCCGAAGGGACCTCCGAGCTGAATTCCAAGCTCGGAGAGAAGGGGCTCATGGCTAGGAGAAGCCTGAGCCCCAATACACCAAACCCGGAGGCACCCACCTATGCTGAGCATGAAGAAGCATATAAAGGCGAAACAAAACCCAAGTGCCAAACGTGCAACACCAACGCCCCATAAATGCCACAAATGCTGTCAAACGCCACCAACGTCCAACCCAACGCCCCTAAATACTACTAACTCTGTAAACACCACAACGGACCAACCCTAATGCCCCATAAACGCTACAAACACGCTGAATGCCACAAAAATGACTGGCTCAAATGCCTCATAAACGCTACAAACACTGTGAACTTGACGAACGTCCATCCCAAGCACTTCCTAAACAATACAAACACCGTAAACGGCACAAAAATGTTCACCGCCAATGCCCCATAAACACTACTAACGCTGTAAACGCCCATTACAGAAACGCGCCCATTCAAAAACGTCGATCGTGAAAATGCAAATAAGTGAAAAATGACGTTAATTTAGTGTCAATCAAGAAATCCCCTGGGTATATCCCTTTCCTGGTTATTGTTCCTGCTCAGACATCCGCAACATTTGCCTATTCTTCGATGAAGAATAGAACTTCACGCGACTAACAATAGCTCAGTCTGTTTAAAAACTGTCTAAATTTACTCCGAATTAGCATGTGACTTTTGCTGTTAAACGCTTCAAAATTGAAAAATCCTCCATGCTTGTTGTTGATTTTGCCGTAAATAATTCAATGCACTGACTTAAAATGAATTTCTACCTTTTACAAACTTCTTGGTGTTCGAATCGATCGATGAAATATGAGCGCAACCGATGCGTTAATAGTTTGTTTACATTTTGACACGGGTTTTGGATAATATTATAAACCTTAAAATTTACGGGCAAATTCGACGAGAAAGCACTCTCACTTACATTCTTTAGCAAAGTATAAGGCAAAATTAAGAGCGATACTTTCTTTAAGAACGCTATAACTACATATTTAACGGCCAAACCGAAACAGCGATCTAATCCGTCTCTTGAAAACAACTACAATACCGCTTCTGATAATAATATTCATAAACGCTGCAAACATTTTTATTCAATCGTATCGAGTGATTTTCGTGAAGATGAGTTTTTAAGTGAAGAATACTTTGGTTTCTGATTAGCTTTAACTGTTTTGCCATCAAAAGATTCGCACGAGACTACCGAATTCGCGAGGGTTTTATGTTAGTGCACGAGGAAGAAAAATGCTTCTCTTTGCATAAACATTTTCTTCTTTGTAGCAATGACAAAGACATTCCAACACATAAAACAATGGTAACCTACTTCTATTGTTTCTGCATTGTCTCTTGAAAGTGTGAGAATAGTTAACTGCTATGAAGTTCATAAGAGACCGAAAACGACGGTAGTCTTTGAAACTTCGTTTTTGCTCGCAAAGCCTAATGGGTACCCCACTTTTCACGGGCGACGTTTTTCAATGGGCGCGTTTCTGTAATGCCAGACGGGTCCCACCCTAATCCCCCATAAACACTACTAACACTCTAAACGCCACCAAAAGAACCAGCCCGAACGCCTTATAGACGCTACAAATGCTGTGAAAGCCACAAACGTCCAACCCCAACACTCCATAAACAATAAAAAACACTGTAAACGCCACAAGGGTCCCACCCCAATGACCCATAAGCGTTACCAACACTCTAAATGCCACAAAAAGGCGACCAGCCCAAACGCCTCATAAACGCTACAAACGCTGTGGACGCCACAAGGGCCCCACCCCAATGCCCCATAAACGCTACACGAAACGCCACGCCACGCCAAACAATAAAAAAAAATAAATAAATAAATAAAGTAAACAGACCAGCCTGCATGCCTCATAAACGCTACAAACGCTGAAAAGCGCCACAAACGTCCAACCCCAATGCCCAATAAAAACCTACTAACACTGTAAACGCCATAAGGGTCCCACCCCAATGCCCCATAAACGCTAAACGCAACGCCACACCAAAAAAATAAAATAAAATAAACGAATAAAATAAAAAGACCAGCCTGCATCCCTCATGTACACTACAAACGCGAAAAGCGCCACAACTGAACAACCCCATTGCCCAAGAAAAAACTACTAACACTGTAAACGCCACAAGGGTCCCGCCCCAAAGCCCCCTAACTGCTGCAAACACTCGAAATGGACATAAAATGACCAGCCCAAACGCCTGATAAACGCTGCAAATGCTGTGAACGCCACAAGGGTCCCACCCCAATGCCCCATAAACGCTACACGAAACGCCACGCCACGCCACGCCACACAATAAATAAATAAATAAACAGACCAGCCTGCATGCCTCATAAACACAACAAACGCTGAAAAGCGCCACAAACGTCCAACCCCAATGCCCAATAAAAACCTACTAACCCTGTAAACGCCACAAGAGTCCCACCCCAATGCCCCATAAATGCTAAACGCAACGCCACGCAAAAATAAATAAATAAATGAATAAAATAAAAAGACCAGGCTGAACGCCTCAGAAACGTTACAAACGTTGTGAACGCCACAAACTTCTAACCCACAAACACTCCATAAACAATACAAACCCTGTAGACGCCACAAATGTCCAACCCCAATGCCCCATAAACACTACAAACGGGACCAGCCCGAACGCCTCATAATGCCACAAACGTCCAACTCAAACACTCCATAAAACAAAACAACAAGACTATAATATTTTTATAGTACTAGTAAAACTAGTAAAACTATTTACTACAAAAATACTAGAAGGAATGTTAGTGCCTGGGGTATCCAAGGGCCTCCACTGTGGTCAGCCAGCCCCTAGAATCCTCTCCCATGGCTGGCAAATCCCCGCAACCAAGCCATGGCCCCCCTTTCCAGACACCCGTCACATTGAAGCAAGACGAAACAGTGGAAGGAGGCATAGAGGGTTGCGTGGAGGGGGGGACGCTAAAAAACAACCGCTTCCAACAGCTTCACGCTGACGCAACCGCCACAAAAACCGCTCAATTTGATACTCCTGGCTGTGACGAAGTAGCCACGTTCCATGTGAGTTTGACCGTTGACAGGCGGAGACTGATAAGCTGGTGGCGGACTACTCAACTGAATGCCAGCTAAACTTGAGCTCGAGGACTGCTTCACCGCTAAGCTCGAGGACCGCTTCACCGCTAAGCTCGAGGACTGCTTCACCACTAAGCTCGAGGACCGCTTCACCGCTGGGCTCGAGGACTGCTTCACCGCTAAGCTCGTGGACTGCTTCACCGCTAAGCTCGTGGACGGCTTCACCGCTAAGCTGGTGGACCGCTTCACCGCTAACTCTAGGACTGCTTCACCGCTAAACTCGAGGATTGTTTCACCGCTAAACTCGTGAACCGCTTCACCGCTAAGCTCGAGGACTGTTTCACCGCTAAGCTCGGGGACCGCATCACCTTTAAGCTCGGGAATCGCTTGACCGCTACTAAGTTTGTGGACCGCTGAACTGCCAAGCTCGAGGACTGCTTCACCGCTAAGCTCGTGGACCGCTTCACCGCTAGGCTCGTGGACCGCTTCACCGCTAAGCTCGAGGACTGCTTCGCCGCTAAACTCGAGGACCGCTTCACCGCTAAGCTCGAGGACTGCTTCACCGCTAAGCTTGAGGATCGCTTCACCTTTTGGGCTCGCGAATCGCTTGACCGCACCGCTAAGCTCGTGGACCGGCAGACGGCTAAGCTCATGGACCGCTAGAACGCTAAAATCGTGAGCCGCGTGACCGTCAAGCAAGTAAACGCAAGACCACAGTCGTTCCGCGAAAAACACCGCAACCAAGCTGTTGTCGAACTATCCAACCATGAAGTATCAGACAAAACACCCAAGCAAAAACAACGATTGCACAAAATCCAGGCGTAGCCGAAGACAACGTAGAAAGAAAACGGTTTGACCGCAACAGCAAAAAACAGCGAGAATCAGACGGTAAAAGAATGATCCAAAGGCTAAACGAATAGAATGGCCGCCACGAAAACACTGTACTGAGCACATGGAGGTGATGCAAGCAAGGCTGACCGCGCTTGAGCCAAACGACCGACCGCTGACCACGCTCGCGCTCCTTGTTGTTAACTCTGTTAAATAAATATTTATTTAACCTCATTAAAAATATGGCATTTTCAATCCTTCCACCAAGTGACGCTTTTTCAATTTTTTTTTGCTTTGGTTAAATTAACAACGAGAGCACACTACACTTGCGTTGCAGGGGTCCTCTTCACCAATCTAAATCCGGATTTTGCGAACGAACAATTCCACTTTCCGTTCGATTGCAATCAGAACGATCTACCTCCGCACTTGGATCGTTTAGATTGGTATCTCAATCTCGTTTTAGACTTTTGTTTCATTCAACCACACTGCTTTTCGATCACAAGAATGTACTCGTTCATCAGGTGATCGATAAACAGGCAAACGCTATTTATACTCCTCCGATGTTTTATGTGACTTAAAAGCTGTAATATATTCAACTCATAATGGTACTGTAACTCAAGATTCGCAAACGCTAGGGGATTCTCACCATAAAATGTTCATCTCTCAGCATTTGAGGTTTCGTAGTTATCTGAGTTTGTTTGGTTCAAATTCAAGATAATTTCAAGTTGATGAGTCCCAGTATGAACCCGCTACTAGCCAAAGGAATACTTTCCCTTCCATTGCTCTTCGAGAAGACTGTTTCAATTAGCGGGAAAAAAAAAATCAAAAGCGATGCGAGAAAATTGCGAAGGAGATCAGTGCAGCAGCCAACTACAGTATGGATCAATCTTTTTTAGATTTTTGTTCTTGTTTCTACCACGACAATCCAACCGTCCGGATTGTCTATATCCAAAAAAAAGTTTGGCTAAAAAGAACGCAACCTAAATATCTCAGCAAACTTACTTTTGCCTTCTCAGCTCTCTCCATATGGGTCAGGACCAGCTTCTTATTCTAGGACGAAGAAAAAGTGGGTATAAACTGAAAGTATATTCCTACCAGAACAAAGACTACAAAGGCATTGAGGTCAAGATTATTATGAGCGAAAACGACCCTTCTAATCTA